AAAAAAAACCATCACCCTAGGAAGTGACATTGCAAGGCAGACAGCAGATATCGTGCTATTGGATGATAACTTTGCTTCAATTGTGATGGGAATCGAAGAGGGGCGACTACTCTTTGATAACCTGAGGTTAGTTGCGATATGCTTGAGCGGTATTCCAAAAAGGGCGTGGCGAAAGGCGGCGCCAAGAATGTTGCGACATTACTGTCACTGTTCCAATTGATGATGGAGTCACCAAAAGTCAATGGAAATTACAACATTTCCATAACTACACAGACAACGAATTGTATTTTTTAACGTAAACCGAAAAAATTCAATAAATCGAATTTTTTGCAATGGTTTTCCCATGACTCCATCATCTTGCGAATACAGATTGACAAAATTGTTCGGCCCCGCCTTCGCCCACGCCCCTTTTTTGGCTTTTTGCGAGGGAGCACTTTTCTCGCGAATTATTGCAGCTTACACTTGTCATAAAATATTTGTCGTTTAGACTATCACTAGCATACACCTTCGCTCATCTTTGGCCCGAAATTTTCCCAATCATGCTTACTTTCATCTTGGGACTCCCACTGGGTCTGTCACCGATGCAGGTGAGGCTACTTCCTTCCACCCTCTTTGGGCTATATTAGATATCAACATCATCCAGATTTTGTCTATCGATCTTGCTTCCGAGATGCCACCGGCAGTCTCGTTAGCCTATGAACAACCGGAGCAGGACATCATGCTGACCCGACCAAGAAATCGAAAAACCCGTCTACTTTCTAAGAATTTACTCGTTTATGCTTATCTATTCGCTGGAACTGGTATCACTATTGGTTGTATAGCAGCCTATCTGAGCGTTTATTGGTGAGTATAGACTTTTGGATCTTCGATTCAAGCAAATTCAGATAACCGAGTTTCTTATGCGGATACTGATTGTAAAAGCTTAACTGAGCCATTACCCAAAAGGCAGCGCGTATGATTCATCCTTGAACAATAAAATCAACTCTAAACTCCGGCCCATACCGTAAACTTTCTTCCTGATCGATCAGCGCCCTAAGTACGGTTTGGGTTGGAGTTTAAAGCTGCGTTTCGCGGTCACGGATGAATCGTATGAGCTACCGCTTGAGCCATAGCATAGTTGAAGCCTACCAATCATTATCCACGTAAGAAGTCCAAATTTATCCAGATTAACCTAGACACTCTGCGACCACAAATCCTGGCCCTATTTCTTTTTTAGGTACCACAACATCACCTTCCAAGACCTGCTCTTTACCGCTGAGCACCATTGGAAAGTTGGAGCGGCTAACTTCACAACCAGTGATGGCGTAGTTTACGATGAAAATCAACAATTATTTATCAAAGGTCAAGCAGCAGCTGCTTGGCAAATAGTGCTAGTCATGTCACAGGT